CAGACCTACCCAGAATCTCCACAGGGCAAGGGAGTGTGAATATCCAAACCCTGGTCTTCCCAGGGTTGTCAGATCTTATGAAATTAAGTCTTCCAAACTCTAGCCAATAAACGGTTATCTTTTAATGTGAGCAAGACGGTCATACATATTTTCTTTGATTTTTTTTTTTTTATCGTTTGTCTATTAACATTTTTTATGAGACATTGCATATACCGGACGCAGTAGCATTGCACACTTTACAGTGTATCATAAGCAGAAACAAAATGCTATGACAGGTTAGTGCCCATTTTACATAATTAAAGGATTCATAAAATAAAAGGCCAGAATAAAAAAAAAGTGAAAAATAAGTCTCCAGGTATGTCACTAGTCTAATACTATCCTTATCTTTTTGTGTCATTTTACCCCACTCCCTCTAGCATGTAAGCTCATTGAGCAGGGCCCTTAACCCCTCTGTTCCTGTGTGTCCAACTTGTCTGGTTACAGCTACATGTCTGTTCATCCACCCATTGTAAAGTGCTGCGGAATTTGATGGCGCTCTATAAATATCATAATAATAATAATAATAATAATAATAATAATAATAATAATAATAATAATAATGAGATGCTTAAGTAGGCCATATAAACAGAGACTCTAGTATAGATCTGTCAATGGTCTCCTAATAAAAACATACTGATCTCAAGGTGCCTATCATGAGTAACAATACATAAACAATGCAGGAAAAATTATTATTATTTTTTTTTTTTTTAAATGATATGCGTAATAAAATAAGCAATATTGCCAAAAAGGTCTCCTGGTATGAGATACTGAAATAGGCCGTATAGACAGAGACTCGAGTATAGATATGTAATAATGGGCTTATTTAGAAACACATTAATCACAGAGTACCATTTACTAGTAGCAATAAAGAAATGCATCAATAATATGTATTAGCGCAATACATTCGGGGAATTAAAGCAACGTCACACATACTTGAAGGGGGCGGGGGAGGGGATTAATAACTATACAAATTAAGCAATGCAGATCGGATACTAAGATTGAATATGCAGACCCATGGAAATGGAAATCCTACCATAACGATCTACAGAGCTAGAGCAATAGAAGGACATTGGATAATTATATGTAAATAAACAATTTTTTTTTTATTTTTTTTTAAAACAGTATGCCAAAGCATCAATCCTCCAGTGAACAAACAAGACACCATCCTGGTTCAGTTGTTGGCCAGGGACAAACGGGTTGATGTTATGCACATGCCATGAAATAGAGATCAAGGGTTGCCAAAAGGTAGGAACAAGACAGAGAGCCTGCAGGACAGGAAAAGTGTCCTTGTCTTAGGAAATATTATACCGCTGGATTTGAAAGGAAATGGCCCCTTTACAAAAATATTGCATAGTTCTCTACAGAACCAGGCCACGCAACACACCAGCTGCTGTACTACATAGCGTTCCAGAGGTTTATATAATAGACAAGTACATTACGTTAGGTCACTGCAATACTCATATATGTGTTGACCCAAAGAAAAGCAAACAAAACAAACGTTGTTGAAACACTTGCCTTTCTGTTTGAGAGGCAAATTAATTCCTTAGGGGCTAAAATTAAAACCTTATGTCTTGTCTGGATCACCCTACTCTCATAATTACCCATAACTATACAATCTAAAAATTAAGGGCTTCGAGAAGATTTACCTCCAGTAACCAAAGACTGAGTGTTAGATTAATTGTTCTTGTTTTTTGTTTGTTTTTTTGCCAAGTAGGAATTTAAGGACACTTATTTTGATGCTCTGAAACCGTTTACTTACGGCCTTTATTTCACGATAATGGATCAATAATGCAACTAATATTGTAATGACATTAATACTTTTAAAATTAAATAAATTCATGAAGGACCATCAATTTTTCCTAACAATAAAAGAGAGGCAAGGGAGAACATAGATAATTTTATTCTTTGTATTTTTTTTGCTGTGGTTGTGAGAGTTTATGGATCGGGCTATGTTTTTTTTTTCCATGAATACTCTAAATGCCAAGTGTATGCTTGTCCTGGGGATCTGGGAACACAGAACATCCCCAACCTGCCATGTATGAACCAATGGAAACATTCTAGAGGGGAACAACTGGTTGGTACTTTTGTTACAAAGAAGGTCCAATATTTCTCTTTTACTAAACATTTTGGGGAAGTTTAGGCCAATGATCTCACATGTTGGATGTTAAGAGTCAAAATTCATTATGATCTAAGCGGGATTCATAGTAGTTAATGACTTATTTAAGGAAATTCAGCATCACATTTTATAATGTATAGCCATTTGTTAAATCCACTCAAATATAACCTGCTTCTAAGAAAAGATTACTTCTATTCAATGTGCCCACACATATAATACCTCCTAAAATCACACTTTGTTAACAACTTACTAATTGTTTTGAGATTAAGTACAGAGTTTAAAAAACGCAAACGAATGTTTACATCTTTAAAGGTTTGCAAATATACACACACATTATATATATTTTTTTTAATTTTTTTTAAATGGTCCAAAATTTTGAACTTCAAATCTTTGAATTAAACACCTCCTCAACAAAACATAAGTGCCAGAGTTTGTTTGTTTTGATATAATTCTGTGCATGCATATGTTTGTACTCCAAAGGCAGCTGGGCCAGTTTGTTTTCATGAGTGCCTTATATTCTTGCAGAGTGTAGAAAGAGGAGAGATGTGCCCAAGTTAACTGATAACTGATTTTTTTTTTAATTTTTTTTTTTTTAAATCATTGAGTGACGTAGTGAAAAACATCTATTCTGTGTAGTCAGACATTTTTAAAATGATATTAAATATACATGCAAACATACATACAGGTGTACTCATTAAAGTGTAAACTGGCAAATATTCAAAGTCATTTTCAGAATTTAGGGCAAAGTAGTCCAAGTGGAAGCATAGTTGATTTAGATCATTTTTCCAAGTCAACTATTTTGGCCTTAAATGTAGCGAAAAAACCCTGCTTGGTAACTCCACCAATTTAAATTCCATTTACAGGACTCCATTAAAACTTGACTGGCTGAACCCAATCCTTGGCCATTCTTTCCATAAATTACAGATGGTAAATGGTTGAATATAGAAAACTGTACAACACTTCAATTACTTCATATCTGACTTAAAAAAAATAAAAATATAAAAATAAAAATTGCTTGTGATATTACAAAAGCAGAATAATCTGTGTCTGTCACAGTTCACTGCTGCAGAAAGTTATGATTTAGTGGTTTACATGTAAAGCCCTAAGAACACTTTTATATCAGGTACTGGCTTAGAACATCCTATGGCAGACTGCCAATTTATTCCAAAATCTACAAATCGTTTTCCCGATTTATCTCAGGAAATGAAGGCAGTGATTTGCAGTGACTAAAAAAAATAAAAATAAAAAAATATTCAAACCTGACACAAAATGTATTCTCTTTTACAAATACCAATAGGTCTATATTAAAAAATGATAAAAAAAAATGAAAAAAACAAACAAAAAAACTACTTTGTCAAATTGCCCATTAAGCATTTGTTTTCCTGTATATAAATAAAGTTTTCCCAGCAGCGATAGCAAAAGCTACAGGAATTTTCAGTAATAATGACACCACACATGGGAATTAAAACTCAGGCCATTTTCAGCTAAAAGGAGTTGACCTGGTTTTGAATTTCTTCACTAATTATTAATCATAATTAAATGATTTCTTTTGGGACACAAAATAAATAAAAACCTGGCCATCATCCAAACTCATATTTAACTCTTTCTACAATTAACATAACTTATCACTGCAGTCAAGTAATAGCTACAAATGAAATAAACTGTTTACTTTCTCTAAATGTTTTATTTCGAATTTCTGGCTGTGATTTGCTGTATGTTTATATCTCATAACAACAAGATTGTAATAAACTCAACACTCAAAATATACACGACTATTGCCTCTTTGTGTATTAGAATTGTGCCCATGACTTAATTTCCATCTTTGAGCTAAATCAAATAACTGACAGTGAAAGGAAGACTTTAATGTAAAACAATCTACAGAAGGAAGTAAATACACACATATTTTGAATAATCTGTAAAATGAAATGCATGTTCTAAAAATTAAATATATAAGGCACAACACTATAGAACATCTGACAGTTTTCATTAATTGGTGAAGGTACTTGAGCCAGCACATTAAGTCATTAAAGTCAATGAAGTGAAATATAAACATGAGCTTGATGTCTGCCAGGCTTATGGTATTTCTATAGTGTCACACAGGCAACTGGGGCTGGTAAAGTGACACCAGGATTCATTCTGAGTCCCAGCAACTTGCAAACTCATTGTGTGCTGTGTCACTGGTTCCCTGGCACCTGACAATTCCAGTTCTCCTTTTTACATAGAATATTGATAGTTCTCCATGCATTTTATTTTAGCCTGTTGGTATTCCAATTTGGAAGCAAAGATTAATGTCTTTTTAAAAAAAAATAAAAAATGAAAACACTGCAGATTGGCAGTAGGGATTCCAAATGTTTGTTCAGTTATTCATTTATATAGAATAAACTGCGAGAAACATAGAGACCTCAGTAAGACTGATAAGATGTGTGGGATGTTTGGAAAAGTATCAAAAAGACAAGAGAAAAAAGAAAAGCGCATTTAGAAAACTATTGTCACTAGATATTCTTCTTAAACATTCAAACTAGTGATCTGTAGTTTAAAAATAAAGAACAATAAATAGACTCGTTTAGCAACCTTCGGGACTCCAGATGTTTTGGACTACACCTCCCATGATGCTTTACCAGCATTATGGGTGTAAGAGCATTATGGAGGATGCAGTCCACAACATCTGGAGTGCCAAAGGTTGCCTATGCCTGGACTAGTAATTAGCATGCTTTGAAAAGCTATACAATAATTAAATAGCATTTCCTTGGCACTAAACCCCATGTGGAGCTAAATTAACACCCCAGGACACTGTAATTCAGAGTGCTACACACTCCACACTGGAGTCCACACTAGATGAGCTTACCTTTCACTTGGCTCTCATATTCTGCTATGATTTCTTTGTCTTTCTTGAACCTGCTGGGAGTCGACATTTTCCAGTAGTTCTCCAGATTCCAAAATGCACTTTTGCTCGCAGCTAAAAGTTTTAAAAACCCTGATCAGAACCAGGACAGAACCAAGTGGCCCTGGAGATATCACTGGGGCAGGATCCTTCAGCTGGAGGTAGCAAGAAGACAGGGCTTGTTGGTCAACCAGGGAGCCATCCTAATAGCACAACCAGAAACAGGCACAGGGCAACAGCAGTCACTTTAACTAAAGCACCCGGTGGGGGGAGGGTTTAGAGGGGTAACTGGGATGAGGAGCTGGTAGAAGGGGGTGCCCAGAATTAAAGAATAATCACCCTGGTAAGTAGGCAAGTAGATTCCCACCGTAGCGAGCTGGTAGAAACGGCTGGAAAACCGCACAAAAGAAAGGAGTCCTTTTGTGCAGAGGAATGAGGCAGAGGCACCATGAAGCAAGGTACTAGACACAATGCAGCAGGCATACAGGGGCTGACTGAGTGCAACCCTATGGGCAGGGCCAGCCACACAAGGCACAATGAATGGGAGCAGCCAACCCAGCGCTGGGGGCAGGAAGGAGCACACTGTAGGGGAAGGAAGGAGCACAATATGGGGTGCAGGCAGCACAGTGCTTGGACACTAAGGAGCACACTGTGGGGTGCTGGGGGCAGAAAAATGGGGAGCAGGCAGTACAGTACTTGGGGCAGGAATGAGCACACTGTGGGGAGGGCAGGAATCAGCACAATTTGCTGGCGCTATATAAATAATAACTGTGGGGTGCTGGGGGCAGGAATAGGCACACTGTGCACGGCAAGAGGGAGCACACTGTGAGGGGGGGGGAGCAGGGAGCACACTGTGGGGGACTGGGGGCAGGAGGGAGCACACTGTGGGGGGCTGGGTGCAGCAATGAGCACACTGTGGGGGGGGGACTGGGGGCAGGAATTAGCACACTGTGGGGGGACTGGAGGCAGGAATTAGCACACTATGGGGGGCTGGGGGCAGGAATTAGCACACTGTGGCGGGGCTGGGCAGGAATAAGCGCACTGTGGGGGCAGGAGGGAGCACACTGTGAGGGGCTGGGGGTAGGAATGAGCACACTGTGGGGGTCTGGGGCAGGAATATGAGCACACTGTGGGGGCTGGGGGTAGGAAATAGCACACTGTGGGGGCTGGGGTAGGAAATAGCACACGTGGGGGGCTGGGGGTAGGGTGGCACACTGTGAGGGCACACTGTGAGGGCTGGGGCAGGGGTGGGAATTAGCACACTGTGGGGGGACTGGGGGTAGGAATTAGCACACTGTGGGGGACTGAGTGCTTACACTGTGGGGGACTGGGCAGGAATTAGCACACTGTGAGGGGCTGGGGGCAGGAATTAGCACACTGTGGGGGGGGCTGGGGGTAGGAATTAGCACACTGTGGGGGGCTGGGGGCAGCACAATGAATGGGAGAGGTAAGAGGGCGAAAAGAGCTTCAAGGTGCCAAGCCCTGGTGCCGGCTGGTGGGTGGGTGCCAGGCAGTCCTGATCACTGCCTCCTCCTGTGTTCTCCAGTGAGGGCTGTGGGGTGGGTGCTAATTGGATATCACTTGGCTGCGCCCCCGTGGTATTGCTTTATTACCCCTCCGTGGTCAGACTGCCACACAGCGCAGCCAGAGGCTGGGAGTGATGGGGGAGGTGCCGGGGCCTCCCCCTCAAACCCCCTCCATCTCTCACACAGACTGGGCTCTGCCTTCCTCTGACTGACAGCATCGGCCGGCCAACCGAAAGGCGCGTCTCATCGTTCAGGCCTGGTCCAGGAACCAATCAGGAGCCGAGGCGGGTGCTGAGAGGGGTCGGTTGCTAGGAGACGAGGAGCATTGGTCACAGCAGTGATGGGGCAGGGAGCATGCACCCCTGGCTCATTGACACTGACCCCAGCAGCACAGCCTGCAGGAGGCTCATTACTGCTCCCTGAGTTATGGGCCCCTGGGATAGTTAGCTAAGGCAGACACATTTTACCAATTAAACCAGGGGGACTTTATTTAGAGGTGGCTGGAGTGTAAAAAAACAGCTGGTTATTCAATCTGAATGCATGATACATAACATTTATTTTATTCCACATAATTCAGACTTTACATATTTACAGGATTATTGTTGGGAAGTCAAAACGAATTTCAAATTTTAGGCCAAACAGCTAAAGTTAGTTTTAGGGATTTTAGCCTGTAATGTAAATATTACTTTTTGGGATTATTTATTTAGGCTGCATCAGTAAAAGTCAGTTAAAATAATTAAAATGTAACAGAACTTGCAATTCTCATATTCACTAAAACAGTTCAACTAAATGAGCATGTGTTATTTGGTAAAGTATAGTTTCCGGCCAGCGACTAATGAAAGTAGTTAGAAAATTGGGCAGACTAGATGTTATGAATGGTTCTTATTTGTCGTCACATTCTATGTTTCTATGTCTATTGTTCTGTGTGCATCGACGTGCATATCTTGGTATATGTAGTCACTCTGTGTGTATAATTGTGTGATTTATGTGTGTTCTATGTTGTATGTGACTTCACATATAATTGCTTGTCTATGTATGTATGCATGTAACTGTATATATATATGTGGGGATACAAAAAAAGAGTAAGAGATTGGGCGGGGGTTAATATATACTCAAGAAATAATCTGGGTTAAGAGAAGAACAATATTTCTATGCTATAATATGTATGAACACTGCCCCTCACAGGCATCATTTGAATTATATAAAGCGCGATTTCCAGGTAGCACACCTGCGCTCTGTCACTATATGCAGCAGACACGGTTGGGCCCTTACTGGAGGTGGGGTAGCACTAAAAATCAATGAGTCATGATATTGTCAGGACCTTCTCCCCACAGGCTACCAGATCATTCTCACATTGTTCTGGATTACCTTTCTCAGAAAAGCAGAAACCTTTTTTTGCCTGGCAGCTATAATAGAAATATGTTTGACCTTTTTCTAGCAGTTCTTTTTCAGATCTACTGCAATACTAGTTCTCATCTATGTCAGCTTTCATGCAGACAAGCATTTATGATTTCTCCTGGTCTAAAGGATAAACTCAGACATGAGTAACGCATACAGACAACACTTGGCATGTGTGTACTAGTGCTGGGCCTTCTTGTACATTCACGTCCAATATCCCAATGGGCATTATCATTGATGGAAGAAGTCCCATTATATGCACCATAAGATCATGAAATCAGTGTTGCCTAGGCTGGGCTGAATCCCCAAAAGGCTGTTGGTCCTCCAAAGCAGAGCTGAGTTAAGAGCCTGATGGATTGGTGCTGATGATTATACTGGGCCTAATTACAGATAAATTCTAATAGAAAGCATTATAACAGCCATATCTCCCGAGTGTCTTGTATCTGGTGGACGTGGTGCTGGTGGAATACTTGCAGGATGCATTTTTAAGAATACACATACCCTATGCTAATCTATCCTATTTCTTAACCCATTTTACACCCGAGAGCTCTCATCTCCTCTCTCAATAGTCAAAAACACTGAGTGCTTTCTGTTCCACTCCTTCCCTTCTTACTAGCAGACAGACCGTCCAACCTGGAACAGAGAAATAAGTTGGTATCGTGAACGAAGCATAACAGGGGACATAACATACTGCCAAATGATGACAGGAGAATGTTGGGCTGTTAGAGATCTAGACACAGCAAGAGCATTTGCACAATGCACAAATTCAGATTTAAATAAATTATAGCCATTCAGTCCACAAAGATTATGTTCCCCTGCATTGATCCTACATTCCCATAAATAGTTCCCTCTTTACAATATTGTAGAACAAGAATATGCAAGGTGTAGTTAAGCAAAAATATTTAATCACATTTATTATTATTTTTTTAGGTTCAATGGGCCTATTTCATGGGTGTGGACCTGGAGAAGCCTCTCCATTAGCCTGCACTTAATTACAGTAAGGTATAGGCAGGGGTCATAATGTATTTTATGTGCCCTAAATGAAAATATTTACAGGGTCTACCTTTAAGTTATGTTAAGGTTTAGAGGGCAAACACAAACACGTATTTTAGTGTACAAACACAAAGATAAAGCACCGCGCTTACAGCAGCAGTGGCTTAGTATCCAACAGCTTAAAATACATAGTAAAAACAAAGAAAACGTTACCTGCGCTCTGGCCTAAATCCCCATGTGCATTTAAACAAAATGGAGGCTCTTTAGTTTTATTCTAATGGCCATTTGAATATATAAGCTCACCTGCCACGTCAAGGCAAGCCTCAATAGGTGAGTTCCTACACTAGCCATTAGATATGCACATGGGGATTTAGGCCAGAGCGCAGGTAACGTTTTCTTTGTTTTTACTATGTATTTTAGTGTACCTACCTGTAACATACAGTATATTCACCTGTCATAAACTAAGGAGAACAACACGGATATGTACATGTTTCTTTATAAAGTAAATACTGAACTGGTTTCAAATGCTTCACTATTGCCTCCATTTTAAAATGGGGATCATCTGCTTGTATAGTAGCGCCACCTATGGGTATAAGTGCAACAATGAACAAATAAGAACTTTTACCTAATGCAAGACGGAACGAAAGTGTGTGATGTTACATTGAACATTTAAGCCATTTAGAAAGAGTGAAACTCATAGTGCAATAAACTGTTTATAATAATAATAATATAATGGCCTAAACGATAAGGCCTGCATATTGCAGGCACAGTGCAAGTTTCCTAAACCTGCCCACCTATTCCCTCGTGGATGTCTAATATCTTCCTCTTTAAGGCCAACATTAAGATTTCCTGTTAAACAGTTTATAGTTTAATTCATGAATGTTTCAGATGGTTGATGTATTTGTCCTTGAAGTGTCATACAACTTAGCACACACTGATTTTTTAATTTTTTCAAATATTATATAGGAAAAATAATTACTGTTTGTACTTTCATTTTGTTGAAATGCTATTTTTGTATTTATTTATAGAATATGGATTTCAAACAAAGCTAAATTTTCTTTAATGAAGTTAAGTAAATTACATTTAGAGATGAACAAATGTTTTATTACATTCACCAAATTATTGGAATATTAATTAAATTAATATGGCAAACATTTGCGTCAATTTTGGCAACATTTGGCATTTGATTAAAAATATTACTCTCATTTGATCAATAGTCACTCATTTGTAACACACTGAATTAGTTGAAACAGACCGCTAAGAACCCCCACATATTGGAACAGAAAATAAGAAGGCATCTGCATTATAGGCATTTAACTGATTCCTCATCCTGTGTGTGGGAGTAATGGGTTCAATAAATGATTTAGTGTCCAGAATATTTGGACAATGATAAGAATTGCTACATGACTTTCATCTTAATGTGATAAAATTGTTTAAATGTTGGGAGCCTGTGTGCCTGTTAGAGCTCGCACAATTAAAAAGCAATGATTTCACAACAGAACAAATGAAACTCCTAGCTCCATGTCTCCCAGCATTAGCATTGCTGGGTGTGGCAAGACCGTTCAGAATTTGGAGTCCTATGTTTGATACTGTGTTTGTGCCTTGTGGCTGACAGATAAAGGGGTGCAGGAGGCTGTATCAAAATATAAAAAGTTTCAAAAAATTTTTCATTCCTGTCTGGGTGCCTGCATCTGCGTAGTGTCTTGGGAAGGGACATCTGCCCCAGTGCCCATTCAGATACTCTAGTGCCAAAATGTAATATTCAGAAAATGTGATATTATAATTATTTATAAAATATTTTACCAGGAAAGATACATTGAGATTTCTCTCGTTTTCAAGTATGTCCTGGGTCCACAAATCATTGCATTGTTACATTAGGTACAACAAAATACAAAAACAATA